CACGTGGGCATTAGCCAATCTGGTTCGACACACTCGTGAAACGTCACTTTCAGGTATTCTATCAAATCTGATCCGAAAATTGTTTCAGCGTGGCAACAAACTCGTCTCAAAGTTTTAATGTTAACACGCTACGTACGACCACGTGAATCAGCAATATATATATATATATACACACANTATATATATATATAACCACTACATTACTTTGTGTAAAATAAAGGTTCAAATTATCGAAAGTTCTAAATTTGAAATCCATCATAGATGTTAGAAAGAGAAAAATTGAAGCTCAACTTTTCAATTTGTGATTATTAACTTGGTTTTTGTCTTTTATTATTATCATAACAAAGTTTTTGTTTTTTTTATCACGGAATCTAGTGATAAGAGGTTGGGATCTTTTTTATACCTAAGAAACTGATTGTTATTTATTTTCAATAAACAATGAAATCAAATGAGACAAAACCTTCAAATGCTTATCAGTTGTTTTGTATCAAACTTTCTTTTTTTGCGACTGATTGTTTTGATGTGTGACTTAACATTGATAATTTTAGAAAGAATTAAATAAATTATATAATGATAATGTTATTGTGGGTCGTTCAAATATTTTATAAGGATTTGGATTTTTTGATTTCTTTAATTTTTCTGGTAAGGGACAAGCGCTTGCGTCTGTCAACAAAATTTCCTTTTTTTGAAAAATCGATTGTGAATTTCAAAAATAATTAAACTTGATGGAGAGCTTTACATTTTGTGTATAAAATAATCTTACAAAAGCATAAGGTACTGGATACTTTAATACTTGAATGTTTTTTATTTTATTTTATAACCAGCGTTAAACAGCTGATCCATATTTGGGTTTACAGTTATCTATGTTCAACTCCGTAGCCTTGTAATTTTGAACTCAATCCAGAAGACAAGGGAACACCTGGACCAGAATTGGAACAAGCTAGCTTTCGTGGAACTAACCCGTATTTGCGTTACATGTTGAGGGAAAACGCAAAAAACTTACACGGCTAGCCCGACTTGCACCGTCTATGACTGAGGACGGTGCAAGGGACTGTGCAATGTGGACTGTGCGAGGCAGTAATATAGTTCGTATCAACCAGCCACCGCTGGGATTTGAACTTAGGAAACATCTTTATGAGGCGAACGCTCTATCCCCTGAGTCGCCTCTTCTCGTAATTATGTTTCTATAAATATTTCAACTAGTATTTCAGAGTAAATATTATTATTAAATATAAGTGAATTTGTAACAGTTTTAAGTTTTCATTATCTTCAGCTTATGGTCTCTGTTCTAATTATAAAAAACGCAATTTGTAGAGAACGTGTAATTTTGTGAAAACGAAAACTTTGTGATCTTAATTTTTAGCATTTGAAAAGTCATTCACTTCATTATCTAGACTCATAACAATTTGCAAAAATTGAGATTGATTTGAATTATTTTCATTTATGTCTGAAAATTTCGCCAGTTTGACGTTTTCTTAAAAAAATACATAAAATACTGATCCAGTTTTAAGTCCTAATAATTCTTTACAGCAGGGGCCCCCACCAGGGAGGAAGGTGGGCGCACGATGTGCCCACTTAAAGCTAGGAGGAGGGAGCGGAAATTTTACACTAAATAAAACGAATAGTTAGGGGGGGAATTTAGAATTTGCCCAAGAATGCGCCCAAGAGCTTGGGGGGGGGGATGGGGGCCACTGCTTTACAGTATGATAGTATATATAGCACAAAATCAAATCTTTACTCCAAGAGTAAGGTACTTAATAGATGGCTTTGAAATACCTTTATTTTTTCATTTCATCGTTATTCATTTTACTTTCGTCAATTTGACGATTCATTTTTATTTTTATTTCATCTCGTCGTTAATTCATTTTATTTTCGTCAATTTGAGGCGATTTCTTTAAATAGAATATTTAGGCTTAAGTTGTTTTGTGGTCACACCAATTATTACATCATTTGGTATTCAGACACTGAGGAAGTTTTTGTTAATAGAACTAAAACTATTACTGCTTAATTGACCTTCGTTTTTTTTTTTAAATTTATTTTTTTGTATTTATTTTATTTAAATTTTTGCTTTGCTTTATTTAAGGTATTTGTCAGTTCTAAATCCCAAATAAATATTTTCTGTATGTTGCATTAATTTATGTGCTTTAAAATTATAAAATTGTTTCGAGCTTAAGGTGCTTAATCTGTGGCTTATTTATTTTTCTTGGTCCAAAAACTCTGGGAAAAAAAAAAAAAAAACAAACACTTGAAATAAGAACACTGTGTCCAGTTTAATCGATGGATCACATACTTTTATGAACTTATTAGGGTTTAAAGCTATAGGATTTATGTTATACTATAGCGTGTGCCGCCTAATTTAAATCACATGCAAGAGAATGCAAGAGAATAATAGCACGCAAGTTCATCAATAATTTACTGTTCCACGCCAGTTTTCTAAAAACATTCATTCCGATCTTTTCGAATATTTTGATTCCCCAAACAATACAGGACTGGAACCAGTTCTCTGAAATGGAAAATAAAATTATGAAATTTCGAAGTACGTATATAAATTATTGGAATTATATATTCTCTGTTGCAAATTTAAAGATAGTCGCCTAATTTCTTTCTATCAGGCATTAAATAATTGGTGTCTAATTTTTATTTAACTTTTAAGAATATTTGTTTTAAAAATCTAATAGACACTTTATAATATTCATCTAATTTTTTGGACTAATAGGCACTTAATAATTTTATATAAAAAACATTTAATAATGAAAGTTTAATTTGTCATGCTTGAGATTTCTTTTAATAATAAACGCTTATATTTTATCTAATAGGCAATTATTAATGTGCGTTTACTTTTCTAGCCAATGACGCTATTAATGAAAGATAGCTAATTTTTATGGATTAGACTTTTAATAATAGTCACTCACTTCTTATCGAATAGACTGTTAATAAAAAGTTTCAATAAATTAATAACATAGGGTTTTAAAATGTTGTTTCTAGATGAAATTCCAGAGAAACTCAAAAAATTAAACTTATACTTTGAACTTAAATTTGTCGCTACATATTTACTTTTTGGTTAGATGTTACACTGTAAAAAAACTCTGTAAATCTTTACCCAGTATTTGGTGCAAACTTTCTCATTATCCCGAAGTTTAGTTAAATGATAGATAATTTTATTTTAGTTACACCATAAACAGTGAAGTATGTTTGATTTTACCAAAATTTGTTAAAAGACACAAAACTTTGTCGGTGACTGTAAACTGAACGGTAATTGTTTACGCCACCATGTTTCATTTACAACTCGGTCTCGGTGTATCGGGTCGACTAATGCATGTTTTTTCATATATCAACTTATTTGGGTAGGTAAATGCTTTATTTGCATTAATTAAAGTTCATTTCTTTTATGTTCACTTTTTAAATTTGATTGGGGTATAAACTGGTTAGAGGTATGTCATAAAATAACCTACTTACGGTAAATGGCTTTGTTACGGTAAATAGCAACAACTTTAGCCTGAATTTGAGCTCTTTATATATACCTAATAATTGTGCAACCTTCCTCAGATTTTATAAAAGAAAAAACAAACAAAGAAATTGGAAATAGGTGTTTTGTTTCTGCAAAACGCCTACTTTGGTGCTACCTTCTATTGATATTTGAAGCAGGTAAAAATGCCAAAATATCGTATAATTGAGCTGCATTTTATGTAGCCAGCAAATGAATACCAATTTTTGGTTCAAGGTGGCTCTGAATTTCTAACAGTGTGGTTGTCGTTTTCGGTGCAAGTGCCACCATCATCTTTACCGCACCATGCACTTGTTATTCTTTTTGGAGTCATTGAAAGATTTTTGGAGTCATTTTATTCGTATTGGAATTATTTTAGCTCTATTAATTGCGTCGGTTTATGACTTTTAGTTTCTTGCATGATTTAAGTGTTATTTAGCACTGATTTATTGGTTATTTGCTCGTTTTTCATCCAGTACAAAAAATGGGAGTACAGCTAGAGTACAATGAATGTCAAAACGGGGGTCATATACTGCAAATATATTTAAAATTTTTTTTTAATAAACTAGTTTTGAATGTAAATTTGATTTCGTTCTTATATAGTGAGAATAAAGTTGCAAAGTCATATAAATTCATATGATATTTTCCAAGCGTCTTTCATCATTATCATTATAGAGTATCATAAAAAGTATTGATTCAGCTTTTACTTCATTACTACTTTTATTAAGCACACTGAAATGTGTGCTCACCTTGTCTCGGAAAATATCGAATAAAAAAACAACAACTTAAGAACGTACACATCAAACGCAAAGCTTGCGAGCCGAATATGGAGTACCGGTTACTCAAATAAATATTCTGATAAGAGTGGTTATTTTTTAAAACTGAGTTCCCCTCTCATTTCTCATTTTGTTCATTCTTTTTTTTTTCTTAAACGGTATAATAAAACTAAACATAGATTGAATTTATTTTAGATTGAAGCACACTGAATACACAAATATCTTTACAATAGTTAGGATAAAATATTATTATAAAACTAGTTATATCTAGAAGCCGAAAAAATACTTGGGGTGGAATTTCTAAGAGATTATAAATAAAGAAATTCGTAAATGTAAATTATAATTTGAGAAATTTATTGTTAAGAAGAAATTTCCAAATTAGAAAAAATATAAATTTTTGACTATCAATTTGACAAAAAGGATTTTGAGAAGCTGAGAAATACTTTCAAATAAAGATTTAAGCAATCCCTCTTCCTCAAGATTTACAACGGATGTTATTAAAAGCTGCTGTAAATATTTTAAATAAAACAACCTAATTAATAGTTATTATTAACAGTTAAAGCGTCTAGGCAGACATAAAAATGAATTTTTTAACAGAATGATTTTTTAGTTATTCCTAATTTATTTTTTCCATTTAATGTTATAAAATAAAAATTATTGGAAAATAACGACTTTTGATTACTAAATTAAATATTGCAATTTTTTGAGAGTTTGATTTGGCGATTTTTTTTTGTTGCTGGCAACCCCGTTTCGTCTTTCATCAAAATCAAATAAAAACGTAACTTCCTTGTTTTTAAAGCTGACGTCATCGCCATTGAGTTAAGTCTGTGAATGGAGTAAAGGTCTCTTAATTATTATTGAAATTAATTTTAAATTGGACTATTTTGGGTACTTCAGCAAGCTTGTTTTTTCTTGAAATTTATCTTAATGGAAAAGAAAATTGTGCAAAGGAAAGGGAAAACTTCAAAAAGTAAGCTGAAGCCATTTTATCAACATAACCGGCTGTAGTCTTAAAAAACAGTTATAATATTGAGGTCTCGAATTTTTTCTATTTTTTCACTTAATTAATACGATGTAATTTGATAAAAATTTTCACTCTAAGGAAACGAGCTTCTTGGTGGAGCATTGTCTTTTGGAGAACTCACAATGACCAAGGAAATGTGTTTATATGCCTGCAAAACGAATCGCTAGATGTCGCCACTAGATATTAGGAGAAAATTTTACGTAAACATCGTTCTTTCTTTTTCAACTATAGTTTTTCGTTCCATAATAAAATATTTGTTTTTCCATGGTTATTAGCAAAATTTGTGAGAACATAATGCTTTTAATATAAAAATTAATTTAATTTATAAATTTAATTAACAAATTATAACAATTGATAATAGATAAATAATAAAAATAATTAATAATAATTAATGACATTAATTTGAATGATAAATTCAATTAATGCATTATTATTAATTAATAACATATAATAATTAGTTTTTAATTTTAATTAGCAAATTTTAATAAATCAGACTACAGAATTATCCCCATGGTTATAGAAAACGTATTTAAAATTCAATGAAAAAAATTGAGTTGGCAAAAAGAATTAGAATATGTGAATTTTAAAGCTGTTATTTTTATTATTTAGGCATTATAAATGAAATAGAAACTTAAGTTTTACTTGGTAAACAATAATTTAGACATTGTTTTGTTTAAAGTATTCTTTATGTTCCTTTTGATGTAGAATATTTATAGAGGTATTACCCTTGCTTTCGATCAGGATATTTTTTTCTGACAAAATTAAATTTCAACAATATTAAATTTTTTTTAAATAGTTCGATTTTTTTAGTGAAGTTGTATTAAATCTTTACATAAAATTCTATTTTATTAAATAACTGGAACTAAATTGTTTTCTAGGCTTTTATTATTCTCATTTAAGTATGACATACACAAAATTTTTATAATTAATTAATGTTCGAAATGAATCTTCCTCTGTTTTTGGGTGCTCGAGGCATATTGACTTTTACTGCCTTCATAAATTTTTACAGTAAATGCAGTTTTTATATTATCATGTGTATAATGCGCATTATAAATAAACAAATAGAATAAACGGACCACCATGAATAACTTTTGGTCGAATGATCGGATCTTCTCGTATTTGGACTCAATCTTTATGGTTCGAGGATGGACCTCAAATATGCTAATTAATTTGTGTAGACGACATTTGAAGTTACGAACTCAGTCACAAAAACGTACTTTCTCTGAATAAGCATATATTATTTCAGACCCAAATTATAGAAGGGAGCAATCTCCCGTAATCTCGCAAAAGTGGTCCCAATAGTTTAGCCATGAGAAAGGTCCAAGGTATGAACCCGTTAATGCTATACTTTCTGCGTAAATATTCTGGTAAACAATTTTTTGCATCTCTTTAACAAATGTAATTTAATATGACAAAATACAAAATTTGAGGGAAATCGGTATAAGAGTCGAATTTTAAAAAATAAGACCTTTTTTAAAAAAATAAGACCTTTTTTAAAATACAATTTCTCAGGAACTTTTCGACGGATTTCGCTCAAATTTTGTATTTTGCCAAGTAAATTAAACGTTATTTAAAATGATGCACATTATTCAGTACATTAAAATTTTCATTCATTACATGTATTAGAAACATTATTAAAATATTATTTAAAATGGTGTAAAAAATGGTGTGTTCCACAATTCAAATTTTTCGACTATTATTAGAAAAAAATAATAAAAAAAAATTAAATATTTACTAAAAGTTAATTTTTGTATGTAATTATGTTTGGATAAACGAATTTGAGTAATTGAGAAACAATGATTAACGGGAGGAATAGTCAAACTTTTTTGATCATCGACACCCAAAAATTTTTATAATTCTTTATAATTCTCTTATTAAATTTTATTTGTATTTAATTTGTATTTATTCATCGACTCCTAATCAACCCCTAACTACATCGAATCCCAGAGGTCGATATCGGCCATTTTGCTAATCCTTGTTGTATTGCATCCCTTTATTTATTTATTTTTTTCGTTTTCGATTGAAAAAGTGTTTTAATTATACTCTAATAAAAATTATAAATAAAAATAGATAGATAAGTTTAGAAAGTACATGATTTTGGAAATTTTTGTTTTCTAATCTAATCTTTTCATGGGAGGATATTGGAATCGCAAGTTCAATATCAGATTCATGTCATATGAATTTTATCTTACTTGATGAATTTTATCTTGCTAATTATCTGTAAATTTACGCTGAGCTCATTTTAATGTTGAGGTAATGTAATTTATGGAATTTTCCTGCGTTTAGCTGAATCATAATTTTTTTTTTTTTAAAAAAGCACTCAATTCTATTATAAATGTTACCCATGCAAGAGATTCGTAAGTGTCTTCTTTTATTCTTTTTAAACTTTTAAATATAACTTAGATATATAGTAGTTTAGTGTAGGTATTGAGCATATGTGTATTGTATATTGGTATGTATATTGGAATCCATTGGAGCTCATTTACGTCCAATTTAAACCAATGAAAATCGGACTAGTTTTAACTATCAAGAATGTACGAGTACGACTACTCGAACACTTTTCATCTGATGCAAATAACTCTTGTTTTATCCCCTTTAAAACATTTAAAAAAAATTGTACGTTTTACTTAAACTGTCTCTAGCCAAAGTAGTCAAATTAATTTTTTATTGCAAAGTTTTTTTCTAAATTATAATTCATATTCTTCTTATTTTTATAAAGCACTGAACTGAATTTTACGATAAAATACACGCACTTTAAATAGGAAGGGAGATTTGATATGTTTGCTATAAGATCCAGAGTTTTTTTTCATGAAGGTAGGCATTTTTAAAACATGAAAGATTCACACAAATTAATTTATTTTAATATCTTTTAAAAGTATTGATTTGTTTGCCAGGCATCATCATTATAAATCCCGTAAAATGAAAAATACGCCTTCATAGTCGCAATAATAATAAATGTGATCATCTTTTTTTCATTCGTTAAAAGTTGTACAAAAATCATACATCTCAGGCAAAAAATAACAAAATGATTTAAATTCAAAAATTGATGAATTTTTTTAAAATGCAAAATCTTTGTGTAAGTATAATATACATTTTCACATAATAGTATGACCAAGTCTTTTTTCCGTCTAATTTTAATGCTCTGTTTTTTGCTAACAATATAACCTGAAATTGCACCAATTTATACAGTCAATGCACTTTAAATGTAATTTGGTCTTTTTAACATAACTATTAGCCTGCATTTTCACAAAATTCACAAACATGCATGGAGCAAAATCACAATGACAAAAATTCTCCTCTGTTAATCGAATTTTCTTGTATTAATGTCCTGTTCAAAATATATTCGTAAGTTGAGGAAATGGGAGCTAGTGTAGTCATGGGCTTAAAGGTGACATTTTGAATGACTTTTTATTTATTGGTCGAATCTCCTGTGTGAGATATCGTAAATTCGCAACACTGGTAAACACTTTCATGTGCAGTTGCACTATCACGCTATGAATACTTAATTAAAAAATAGTAAAAGAAGGCTTTTAAGGTGCAAAAGTAACTTATAAATTTTCTCTTTAATCTTTTATTATCATATTTTAAATTCAGAAATTAAACCAAAGGTAAAAATATGTGATAAATGATAATGTTTTTTACCTATTTTAATTTTAACTTTTGTTCCGCATAATTTCCATTAATCAGCTTTAAGCATAAACAAACATATGTCAAGGTGGAGCTAGTGCAGAACCATGGTGTTGGGACTAATGTGGACAAGCATGCATTAAACTACTTCAGTACAGCTACTTCAGTATATTTATAAGTTAGCTACTTCAAAATATTTATTAAATAAACCAAATTGAATAATGGTTTCCAAATATATTGATTTGCGTTGGAAATGTCTTAGTATATTGACGTGCTCTATTACAACTTTATTTTAACTAAAAATGCCAATTTTTATTTTCCAATAAAGCTTAGATTGAAGTTAATTCTATTTTTGCTTTAGATATACCTTTCTGATTTGAAATAAATGACTACTTAACAAATTATCAAGTTAGTTAAGACTAGCTCCATAGTTTGCCCAGTAGGGTTAATGTAGACATACAACCTTTTTTTAAAGCATTATTATGAAAAAAGGAGGCAACTTCATTCTAAATATAACAGTCACAAGTGTCAAAATACAACTATCATTCCAAATATAAACCAGAATGCAGGAAAGATTCTAAAGTATTGTTAAAATATATTTAATGTGTTAAAAATTGAATTTAATATGTTTTTTTTAAACAAATTTTTAAAAATATTCACACTAGCCCCTCTTTCCTATTGTTTTTCTGTTGATATGAAGGAAGAAATTTTTATATCATTTTGCGGGTGATCTGAAGGATTAAAAAAAAAAAAATCCATTTATATGTTTGTTTTACACGCCTTTAAAATTGTAGTTATTTCCTTATCGCAATTGGCAACACTTGAGTTTGATAAATGCGTGGGATCTGTAAATACTTTTAAAACGATAAAATGAGATGGTAAATAGATAAGATACGGTAAAAAAATTTCTGGTATTTCGTTAGAAATTTACCTGGGCCTAGAAAATAAATTTTTATTAATTCTTACAGATTGAAATACAATTATTGATAACATATTTCGCCATAAGTATTTTTGAAGTAAAGTTAAAATATGGTGCAGAATTGAAGAATTAAAATATGGTGGCATTACACGATTGTGCAAACAAGTATATCACAATATGATTTTAAAGCTGCTAAGATAAATTTAAAAAGATTTGTGAAGTAGTACTCAATCAAAGTATCATGCATATAAGTTATCCTACTACATAACATAGTAACTTATATACTAAATAACATTATAAGTTATATGCAAAACAATATTATAAGTTGCATACTAAATTACATTATTAGTTATATACTAAATTACAGTATAAGTTATATACTAAATAACAATGTAAGTTATATACTAAACAATATTATAAGTTATATACTAAATTACATTATAAGTTATATACTAAATAATGTAATAATTTATTTACTGAACAATATTATAAGTTATATACTAAATAACATAATGAGCTATATACTAAATAATCTCGTTACTTGGTGACGAAGTATGAAATAGTCTTGTATAAATATGGTCAATTATTTTACTATCTATTTCTTATTTAAACTTTTTAATAGAGTAATTTTTATTTGTAGTCTGTTTAAAAATATTAAATTCATGTAAAATAATTATTTTTAAACTTTTGAACGAGTTCCGTCACTGCTATGCCTAACATCTAGCTATGCCATTTAACTTTTCTCTTTTCTTTGCAATTTAAAATTTTTTTAAGACGGTTTACAGTTTGTATCTCAATAGCGTTTACAGCGCAGGAGCAGTATATATTTTTAAAAACTTTCAAAAGTCTATGCCGCTCTATTCTGCTCTTGCGCAGAGGTTGCAAAACGCTAAGATGTTAGCCACAGAATCCTCTGTGAACGAACTTTCAAGGGTTTCTTCAGTATTTAGAGTTAAATTTAAAAATCCAGGTGCCCATTGAATTTTTTAAAATTAATTATTGAAATGCCATATTAATTAAAACGACACTCATGACATAAAGGAAGAAGCTGGTCACCATGGCTAGTAATAATAAATATTGTTCAGGACAGAAGGTTATACTTTGAAAGGGTTGTTTCGCAATTACAACAAAATAATGTAATTATTTATTATAAATTATTTTTCTGCGAAATTATCTTTAAATAAAAAGAACTTTTAGTTATGCAAAATAAAGTTTCTAATAAATGCAAATTTTCGTCTATGATCATATCCAAATAAAGTAAAAATAACAGCTAGCTTTAAAATTCTCTCCTATTTAAAGTATTGGCATAAATATTTTTACAAATTACCGTTTCATAAAATTGTCTTAACTTGGATTAAATACTTTTTTGCTTCTTATTTATAGTTAAGAAGAAAACATAATCTTCTAATCATGTAGATGGGGAAATACGTCCGTTAGATTAAAAGTTATACTTGTATTACTCTACAACAGTAACATCTCATGAAGAATAAATAAATGAAACTTATTAGATTAGTTTACTTTCATTAAATAAATCTTACGTTAGCTACAAAATTAGTTAGTACGTTAATGCTTTTTAATTAAATATTTTAAAAGGCTTCTAGTAAGAGAATGCAATTTTGAGCAAGATGTATTTTGATCGAAGTAAGTCTCCTTGTAACAAAAAATTTCAATTGAAACTTTAAATCTCATATTTCAGTCTCTAGATTAACCAACCATTATTAAACCAAATTTAATAAAAAGAAAAAGATTAATTTTCAGAAGTTTAACTCCTGTGTGATGATTCAAGTTACGGTAAATTTACGAGTGTATCATATAGAGGAAAAAAAAATAACTTTTCAACCTTCAGATCAAAGATTAACTGATTATTTATTCATTTGGGAGCAAGTTAGATGTTACAAGTTTGTTGAAAGATTAAATTTGCTACATTCCTTTAACATTTGTGGTTAAAAAGGTCTTTTTTAATTTTTAAAAACATTTAGGTTATTTGAAGTTTGAAAGTTAGTTAATCCGTTTTAAACTATCAAATATTAAATCCTCCATAACCGTGTTTTGAACTGTGTGGAGAAATTTGAAAAAGCAAGAATAAATTTAGTTTATTTGTTTCATAGGAGCATTTCGCATCATTGAAGATAATCCTAAGGGAGAAGGTAAGATACTTTCTTACTCTTCTGCACCCTTTCCTTTCCTACCTATTTTTTTTTTTTTTTTTTTTTTTGAAAAATGTAAATTGCATTTTTAGTAACTTATTTTATTGAAGTTTATTGACTACAGAAATTGCATACTTTTCTCGCAAATAATTTGCATTCATTTGTACAAAGAAAAGAATTCCATGAAATACAAGCAAGTGGCGATTTTGCGTTATTTAAAAACTAAGTTACAAGCAACAAACAGGTGCAAACCTTCATCACGTCTCTTATGTAACCAAAAAACAAGGTTCTTGAATAACTCAGCGAAAATGAATGGTTAGATGCTAAGTTGGTGTCATTTAAGTTTATTTTTTACAAAACTAACACCAACTGGTGTATCTTTAAAACAATGCTACCGGCTACGTATTTATCCACGTATTACAAAGGTTAATATAAATTTATAATTACATGTTTTAAGCATAAGATTGTAATTACATTTTTTAAAACCTCAAAAAAGAAAAATAACGGGAAAAAGAGGTTAGTTTGCTTTAGACTGTATTGTCACTGTACTGTACTGTCACTTGCAGAAATAAGAATTGTTTTCTGAATGGCAGGGCTTAGACTCAGTTTTAGGTGACAATTTGATTAATTTGATGAATGCTACTTTAAAATGAATACAAACAGAAAAATATCCGCTTAAAAAACAGTTTCTTTACATTTAAAACTACATTATCTAAAAAGTTGTCAGAAGAAACTAATATTATATTCTAACAACCATTCATTTAAAGTACCTGAAATTTAAGAGCTCTTTAAAATTTCATTCAAGGTGTTCTTCTACAAAGCTTTTTAAACAGTTTTTATGCAAACTTAAAATTTACGGAAAAAACCTGCAATTTCAAGGTTATCAAAGTGTTTCATATCTTTAAAATTTTTAAAATTGTTTTCAGATGAAAAGCAGAAATCTTATTCGGAATCTGCGAGTCCAAGGCGGAGTCATTCATTAGAAGAAGACAATGCATACGGAATCATCTTTTGGGCTACAGTAGCGATTTCGCAAATCATTGGCGTAGCACTCATCGTCCTATTGGTAGTGTGGGGTAACAAATATGGTGGTTTTGTTGCAACAGATCCGAAATTAATCTTTAATTATCATCCACTGTTCATGGTTCTTGGATTAGTCGTCTGTTATGGAGATGGTATGTTTCATATTATTCTTTATGGTTAAGATTTTATCGAAGTTTTTCATTCTCCCCATATAAATTTTCTTCAGTAAAATTTGCTTGAGAATGATGTCAATAATTAGTGGCGTATCAGGTATAAATACTTCAGTTTGTGCGAGTGTATTACAGATACCACAATTAACACAAGATACCCAAATAATACACGATTTATTCTGCATTACTTATAATCATAAAAATGTTACGATTCAAAAGAGGTCCATTTGTCATCAAGAGTTGTCAAATTGACTCGTTCGCTAGTGGTGATGATAATTCATGTTTCTAATATAAACACACCTTTTTAATAAGCCTTTATTATTAAAATATTAATATCGATATGAAATGCATCTAATAATTTCCAGGACTCAAGAATTTAATAATTCCTAAAAAGTATTACGTGAATTACACACCCATTAAAAATGTTTGGACACTTATTATTATTTTTTGAAATAACTTCCACCTACTAAATGCACTTCTGTATTTGGATGTAAAAGTTTTAAGAAAAGTCCTCGTTTGGGAAGCTTATTAATTCTGACATTCCGACTTTCTTAATTACTTCAACGTTCTTGCGCATAGTTTTTAATCAGGTAATATTCCTAAACATAGTTTTTAATCAGGTAATATTCTTAAACATAGTTTTTAATCAGGTAATATTCTTTAACATAGTTTTTAATCAGGTAATATTCTTAAACATAGTTTTTAATCAGGTAATATCCCTAAACCTAGTTCACTTAGAAAAGGTTTTGGTTCCTGAGCTTGTTGAGATAGATTATTCATCAAACTCTTCGGATAAATCCTTTAACTTTTTGTTCCAAAAACTAAAATAAATTTCTAACTAAATGAACTTTAAGGATGTTGGAAACATTAATCACATCAAAATTGAGTAGCATTCGAAAAATGGACTGTTTTTCCATCTCTCACAGCCAAGACTACAGTAACAGATGTATGTTATTTTGAAACATATTAAATGGGTAATTAATTCACATATATTTTCAGGAAAATCAGTTCAGGAAATTAATAGCCATGCTTTATATATCTTAACTTTGTGTCATAATTATCACCTATCTCATAAACTACCACACAGATAAATAAGACTATTTTACAAAGCATTTTATTATTAAATCAAAATGGCTGTATATGCCATCACTACCTAATAATAATTTTATTTTGAAAATTGTGTTGATTTTTTTAAAAATTGAAGTGGTATTTAAAATGAGATACTATCCACTATACTAATCCTTAATAATAGCATTTCGTAGTATCTTACTTTTAAATTTGCCACCAATTATTTATTTTTAAAATTCTTCTCATTTGGGATTTGATTCTTTCACAATAACGCCTTAAATTAACACTAATGTTTCAATATCATAACTTTTGATGTGATGAAATATCTTCTTTATTCCAGCTATTATTGTATACAGAGTCTTGAGATTTCTGCCTAAACCATTACTAAAGATCATTCACGCAGCTCTTCACATCTTGGCAATTGTTTTCTCCTCTCTCGCCTTAGTTGCTGTTTTTGAAAATCACCGAAGATTAAAAATGGATGACTTGTATTCTCTCCACAGCTGGATAGGCATTCTGGCCTTTGGAGCTTTTTGCCTTCAGGTAAAATATGGCAATTTTGAATTGGACATCAATCATGTTTTATTTTATTTCTCATTTGTAAAATATACTTAAATATGTCCTGGATGCGTCCTTTCTGATATTTTATAGTACTACTACGTTTTCTTACGAGCCAGAAGATATGGTGCCATTATTCTTCTTCTAAACGAAGCTCGCCAAACTGTTCATAAATGCTCGTGAAATTAAAAATAAATAAATCGAAATTTAGTTATTCAATTATTATTCTTTTATGCATTTCAGGTTTCTACTTATTCTAGAAATTATTTTACTTGCATAGTAAAATATAAAATTAATATGCAACATATATATACTAGTATCTATGCAGATTGCATTCCTGCGTGAAAAGAGCAAAATAATCAACCAATTAATCATCAACCAAGATTCATCAGATATTTTCTAATCTCATTTTTTATAACTTTATGGCTTAATGATAAAAACATTTTCGCGCACAAAATTTAGCTCTAAAAATAGCTTGTAAACAACGTAATTCGTAAAATCTAATTTTAATACATTTCAGACTTGAAATGTGAAGGAATAATTTATTATAGAGAAAATATCCATCATTTTTTATAAGAAGGCAATTTAAAAGATAGGATTTGGAAGGAAACAATTACTTTAAAATTGTATGATATGGTAAAAATCAGTTTCTTTTTTCAATTTGACCACACAACTTCTTCACTTAACAAATATCTTGAACCTGTAGCTGTAGATTTTTGCAAGTTACAAAGATTTCTATTTTTATTCTATTTTTATTTATGCAATTATGTTTCTTGTAAAGGGAATTTAATGTCTATACAAGCATTATTGATACTCTTCATCCTTATTCAACAAAGCAGTCCTTTTTTCTATTGTTATAAGACATGTAAATAGAGGTTAACAATCTAGCTTAAAATTACTGAACAAATGACACTGATAGATGATTAAAAATATAAAACAATGTTTTCAAAATGAACACCATTTGCAGAAACTACATGTGTAATCTGAGGGAAAATATTTCAGTTGGAATGGTTGGGCATGCAGCATAAAACATAACTTTTCGGCTTTCCTGTCAGCAGCGCCACCAGTTCCTAATATTAAAATTTAGCAAAAAAAAACTACCTTATTTTCTTAAGCAGAACTTAGCAAATCTTTTTTCTTAAATAGTTTTTTTTTTATATTAACGGTCACTTTCCTGATATTTGGTAGAAGGGATACAACTTATTTTTATATTTCACTAAAATTATCAAATATCAACATAGTCTAAGAGCTATAATGTAACATTTAATGTCCATATTTCTTAATGTCATTTAAATCTCTATTTTCAGTACATTGGAGGCTTCGTGGTATTTTTATATCCTGGATTACCAGCTAACTGGCGTGCAAAAATTATGCCTTTTCATTTGTTTTTCGGAGTGGGAATTTTCGTTATGTCTGTTGCAGCTGCTGGAATGGGTCTTACAGAAAAACTACTTTGGACCTCGTAAGTAGCAATGTTTTATTATTTGAAAGTTCTTTTTGTCCATGGGTGTTTCAATCAGGGAAAAAAAGTTAGAAGTTTCGGACATTATCACATGTCCAGAAAACGGTAAACTGTTAGTTAGTTCTGGTGTTTCAGTTTCGTTAAGCATTTCCCGTAATAGATTCAAAAGTGGCAACAAAACAAGTCCTAAAATGCTTGCGGTAAAAACTGACAATCTATGATGATGTCTCTTTTTGTGAGTATTTTTGAGTGTCATTGTATTCTTTGATTGTAGAGGTTAGTTTTTCTTTTACCGATAATAAATTTCATCAGAACAAATATGACATTTCTGGGGCAATCAAAGTGTGTGATTAGAGGCTTTGGTATCTGACTAGCTTAAAAATACGAGTTTGGGCAAACATTTTGAAAATGAGTTTATTATAAATTTAGGATTCCTATACTCTTAGCTTTCTAAAAATACTTTACTTTTGTTTGCACTCTTATTATTCAGAAAGTTATAGTAGTTTTTGTGTAAGGTGATAAAACTGGTGATTATAAGTTTTAAATGCGTTTATATCAAAATCAAATTTTTTAACATTTTACATCACCTTAAATACGATATCTCATGTTGCTTTCAAAATAACTGTTTACGATTTTTCATGAATGTTTATGATTATAGCGCACATGTTTTGAACAACAGACTAAGGGAAAACAGTAGAATTTAATTTTTTATGCATTTTTTTCTCGTAAAGGCAAGTGCGGAAATTTTTAAAAGTTTGCTTTTTTTTAAACTACATTGACCCCTAATAAGTAGTATATGAACTTGCTTTTTAGATAATAGTCCAAAACATAGTTGATAGTTTTCTAAATAAAATCCTCAATGGATTTTTTGTATTAGGTGATAGAAATGTTTTTACAGTGTTTAGCGTATATGCTGAAAAATACCTTATTTTTACATAAAAATGGCTATTTAATGTAATAATAATAAAAATCAGAATTTTTTTACCTAGTTTTATACGTTTTTACACATAATAAATAAGCAAGTTTCTTAAAATTTTATATTACTATTTAAAAAATAAAGTTGTCGAAACTAGTCGGCTACCTGGTGTCCAAAGCTCTTAAATCATAATTATTAGTGTTGATTGATATGGTAATTTATCTTAAAATGATTGTAGATTATTATAAAATTTTTGTTAGTTTTTTTTATTTATAATACGTTTTTTTTTAAATTTGAAATACACATTTTAAAAAATTTTGGTAATTTCAATTAGTGATAAGCCGTGGTGTGGTGGCTCAGGAGATAGAGCGTTCGACTCTCAATGAGGTAACGCAGGTTGAAATCCCAGCAATGGCAGGTCGAAACGAATTCCGCGCCCCGCTTGCACCTACATAAAAAATCCTCTGTGATAGACAGAGCATGGATGTGAGTCTCCTTGCAGTCGGACTAACTGAGGGATTTTCGTGGTTTTCTTCTCCATATAGCGCAAATGCGGATTAATCAAAAAGGCCTCCATGCAGACAAATTACTCCCAATACTTGATTCAGGAGTTCCCTTGTCTCCTGGATTGGGTTGAGAATTACTAGGATATGGAGTTGAACATTGAAAGTCATAAACTCGTAATTGTGTCTGCTACTACAATGGCTATAAAATTTCAGTTATTGAATCAAAACTGTTTTAAAATTTTCTCTATTTTTTCATCATTCATGAGTAGATGAATAGCGGATCCTAGTAGGTTTCCTAGCGATTTGCTAAAAATATTTTAGTGATAGATTTGTTTGATAGATTGATTGCTTGATTTTTAGTGAAAATATTTTATTTTATTTTAATCAATTCGTATCGAAAGTTATATAACGATTTTCATTTAAATATATGAATTCACACGAACAACTTTTTATAAGTTTAAATTGTTCACTAAACTGAGAAAATTACAACCTGACCAAGACATTGGACTGGCTTAACTTTTCTATCAACTGCTGTGCTTAAGGGTAGAAAATTACATAACCTTATCATACTCCATTGTTAATAGGAAAATTGTACATGGAAAAGTTTTTACTCAATTACAGGATTTTGAAATCGATAAGGAAATAACGTATCATTGTCAATAATTGAGATAGTGAAATTAAAATTAGCTACTTTAATTTTTGCTGGAAACTGAAAGTTATTTGTTGATGTTTGTTATAAGAGGAATAAAGTAACGCTTTTTGCTAGCATGTTCGAAATTTTAAGTACACTTGCAATCGAGTTGGAATCCAAAGTACTAGTGATTTAAACGTTAAAAAAATTAAAAGGTATTTTAAATTGGCCTAAATTTAAAAATTGATTTAATGAGATGCCTGCAAGTGAAGTAGTTTGGGTATCTCGATTCTGATTGGTTGCTGAAGCGTGGCATTTGTTTACGTTAGCAACTGTTATTTCCATTCTATTTCGAGAAAGCTGAGCCCGCCTAGTATTAATTTCTTGAGTGGCACATTTTATATGTTTTCAAAAAGATTTTTTCACAAATATTTCAATTTTTTCACTATATATTTTTTACTTAACACAAAGACAGACACGAAGTCATATAGAATATAAACAAATTAATTATGCATCGGAGTTGCCATCTACACAAACCAAAAATATATCATGGCTACAATAAAATATATGAACCATTAATAAATCTAAGTTAAGTAAATGACGTAGGCGAGAAAGAATTATATTTCAAGGAATTCGATGTGCGATACGCACTGTATTTAATTAACTTCACATTAATTAACATTCTAACTTATATGGAGAAACTTAGCTCAACTTTAATACGCTTATAAACGATCAGCTGGCACTGACGTCACTGTTCACATGAGTGGGTATCCGTGAATTTCTTCTTGAAGTGCAAGTACTCACTTGATTCTAAATCCCAGAATAATTTTAGCCTCTATCGTGGGTAAGTTAACAAACGTATTTATAATTTGTAAGGTCTTGATTACAATATCGATTATCAATATTGTCATAGTTTTTTAAAATATATTTTAATCAATGATTTTGAACAATTCTGAAATATTTAAACTGTTGTTTTTTTGTTTCAGTACAGATTAATATAATGAGCAAATTAAATGTTACAAGACGAAAAATTTTCGTATGATAAACTAATAAAATTTTGATACATTTTGTTTTTACAGGGGCTATTCGAAACTTCATGCTCAAGGCATTATTGGAAACTTAATTGGTTTATTGATTCTTGTATTTTCGCTTTTGATTGTATTCTTGGCAACGCATAGTACTTACAAAAGAAAACCTCTTCCAAATGAAGTACCCAATTTCACAACAAACTGAACAAGTTAAAACAAAGTCATCTTAAAACTCATCAAAGCTATGCGTGTTTCATTGTTAAGGTTGCAAGAAATATTTGTACAACATTTTTTTTATTTGAAATAAACTATTTCCTTTTTTTATAAGTACTTTATTTTTTTTTGATGAAATACAAAATATCAATTTGCAAAACCATTATAAATATATATATAAGTTCAAAATGAAGAATAAAACAAAGAAAAATTGTAGACATATGAAAAAAGGGGGGGGGGAAATAATAAGTAAAAGAATAACAAACAACAGTTAAAAAAAAAGGATGAAATTTTATTTAAAAAACCGGAAGAAAAGATATAATCTTTTCATCAGCCCACGCAATTATATCCGCAAAACAGAGTGCTACCTGATATTGTATCAATAAAGCCAAAGCAAAGTATATTAATACAATAGTGTGAGGAGCACTCAAAATTTTTTTTTATAAAAAATACAGCAGATAAAAGAGAACACAGAAAATAAAAATAAGTAAAAATAACATGTAAAAACAGAAAATAAAATAAAAGAAAAAGAAAAAACAGTATAAAAATGGACTATAAAGCGAGAAGCGAAATCAGATCAACTTACATGGACGGGAAATTTTTCAAGAATGATTTAAAAATGTTTTCGCAGAAAGATTGCCAGATTACAAAATATGAAAACAAAAGCGCAAATTGAGTGTAACAAGAGGGTTTTAAAGTGTCATTCTTACTGCACTGCTGAAGTGATTTGTTATTCTGTGCATTGATTTGTTAGTTACCAACGAAATGGATTTGCACATGAAAAAATTAACAAGGAAAAAAATTTTAGTACATAATTTTAGCCACGGATTTGCCCGAAATGGATTTGGACATGGAAAAATTTTATAAATTAATAAAGAAATTTTTAGCAAACAATTTTACCCACGGATTTGCCTGAAATGGATTTGCACATGGAAAAATTGTATAGATAAACAAAGGAAATTATTTAGTAAAGGAATTTTTCGTAAATAATTTTAACCACGGATTTGCCCGAAATAGATTTGCACATGGAAAAATTATACAAATTAACAAAGAAATTATTTAGTAAATAATTTTGGCAATGGATTTACCCGAAATGGATTTGCACACGGGAAAATTATAAAAATTATCCACAAAAATATTCGATTATTTCAATGATTTTATATAAAATTTTATTACTTTAGTTGGGTATCCATTGTTTTTTTGTCAAATTTTGAAAGAGTTTGCCGATTTGTTTTTCGGATAAATAAATATTACTACAAATTCTTTTAATTCTGTTCATTTCATTAAAAGTGGTATTTAAATAGATGCTCCTAAAAACATTAGAATTCCAAGTAATTAGTTTATTAATATTAAAATTAAAATCATTTCTTTTATCGCATAAATCAACAAAGCAGATATTTTCAACTTTTATAATACCCAAATCCAAAAAATTTAAATTAATATTATCATCATGATTACGAAGTAAGATTAATTCCTCAGGGTATATATCATTCAATAAAAGAGTAAAATCTTGGAAATTAAAGATAATTAAGTCATCAGTATATCTAAAAACAAATTTAATACTAAGAGTAGATAATTTTTTTCATAATAATGCGAAAATAAGTTAGCTAAGAGAGATGAATAATTAGATCCTTGTGGTATTCCATTAATTTGAAGAAAAATATCCTTTCTAGTGTAAAGATAATTACTATAAAGACAAAAATTAATTAGAATTTCCCAATAAACAAAATCGCAACAAAGGATATTTTTAAAATCATAGTAATAATTCAAAAGGACATCTTTTAGTTTAGAAAGGGGAATGCTATTGAAAAGATCCTGGAAATCAAAAGTCGTAATTAATTTTATTATGTCTAGAAGGAATTAATTTTATTATGTTTAATGAAATCTAAAATCGGTTGATTATTAGTGATAATCCAAGAGAAACCTTCTTTAGTAATATAGTTAATAATCTTATTTAAGTAGTTAGAGAAAATGGTGCCAGGTTTAGTTAAATAAGTATTAGACCCACATGTGATAGTTCTAAATTTTACTGGAATTTTATGAAATTTAGGACTGATAATTAAGTAAGGAAATTGTATATTGCTAATATTAATTTTTAATCTCTTGCAAAAAAGCTAAAAATATTTTAATGACAATATTATTATTGAAATTACTAAGTTCAAAATTTTTACTATTTTTTAATTCCGCATTCCTATTCTATTTTACTATTATTTGATTCCGTAAAAGTTCAGCATAAATTTTTTTATTGAATATAGCATAATTAGCTTTGTCTATGGGAGTAATTACAAAATTTTTTGGAAGTTGCTTAATTGATTGAACAATATTAGGAAAAAATTGTTGAATTGTTATTCTTATTTAAATTATCCTTATTATTGAAAATAAGGTTTTTAAAGTGATAATAAACTCCCCATTTCCATTCTGTTAGCATACCTAAAGGTAAAGAGAATCTATTTGATATCTTTAAACAATCTTTTAACATATCTTTAAACATATCTTTTTTTTTCTGGTATTTTTTCCGGTTTTTTAAATAAAATTTAATCCTTTTTTCTTTTTTTTTTCAAAAAGAACTGATGTTTGTTATTTTTTTACTTATTATCCCCCCCCTTTTTTTATATGTCTATAATTTTTCTTTGTTTTATTCTTCATTTTGAACTTATCTAATGAGTTCTGTTTACTTGCTGCTTGAGCGCAATAAACGAAACTTATTGTTTTTCTTAACTTTCTTCGTATTTTCTGTATTTATTTATTATATATATATATATATATATATATCCTAAGCTTCCATTTTCAGGTTAAAAAATAAGCAATAGATGGAAAAAAATATTTTACGTCAGATTTCAGAAGTGCATTATCAGGATAAAAAAATGACTTATCAATAGATTTTAGATAAATTGCTTCCATCAGTTTTTATTTTTGAGTAGAATATTATCTAGATTCAATTACAGTTGATTTTTAATAATAAAATAGGTTAATCATCGATATTATTTACAGATGCACATCTCAGTATAGTGGATTATTTAGAACTCTATTGTTCTTTATTTACTAGAAAAAATTCTTAATAGTTGTTGAGCTCAATCATGGTTGCAAATGCTTTTCTCACTATTTCATATTATTATGAACTTATTTTTCTTTTTTTCAGATACATGTACAGTAGGGGGGAAAACATATAAAGTAGGAGAAAAATTCCCCAGTGATAAGGGATGTTTAATAAAAACATGCCAGGCTGGAGGCCTTACCTACGCTACTGAGTAAGTATTCAAACTGCTTAAAATTATNNNNAAAAAAAAAATTCAGGGAAAGTGTCCTTCAGAATGCAAGCTAACGAAAGAATAAAAATAAAATTATCAATTTTTATTTTTTATTTATTTTAGGTAATTGAAATATACCAATATGCCATTCCCTCACTTGTCCCCACTGTTAATTTAAAAAAAAAATTGTTTCTGAAATAAAAATAAAAAAATTTACAAATTCGTGTATTTTATTTCAGAATATTGAAACATAGAATTCCGAAAATTAATTTTAAATTTAGATTTCCGATAAAAATATTAACACAGCACTATTTTAAACTTTGTCCCCAGTGTTTCGCGTCATTCCCTCACAACAATGTTCTTATCACCTGCAATCATCTTAGAATAAAAATATTTTAATAAAATCTTCAGCAGTTAACAACTGGCATCATAGAACAAAATTGCAGTATGTTTTCATCTTCAACTTAAAGAAGCTTCGTTGTGGAATAAATTTGAATGAATCAAACCTGGAAAATTTTTTTACATTTGTCATTCCCTCATGTCGTTTTTTAGAGTAAAATAAAATACAACTTCATCGAGAAAGTGGATAGTTATATGTTGCTTTCTTGTATGAATATAATTGTATGTGATTGATTTCAGAAATTAATTAGGCGTAACTGTTATTCTTAAATTTTAATAAATTTGTCATTCCCTCACTAGTGTATAAAGTGAGGGAATGATCCTGAAGTGAGGGAATGATTCAAGATGAGTATATTATTAAATTTTTTTTGTTCAATCGTGCCAGCCAATTTTATTTCTCAAACCTTTAAAAACTTTTGAGTATATAAAACTAAATTATAATAAATGTTAGATATACTTAGTATGTTATCATTTTCAAACTTGAGGTAGCTGTAACTTAGAGAAAAGCATATATTAAAATAAAATATCATTCTCTCACTATTAGCGTCATTCCCTCACTTTTTAAACAGTGCAATTAATTAATTTATTTAAATATTAAGTATAATTTATAGGATATATACTTTCTTTTTAATGCCATTACATATTTCTATTAATATAAAAAGTTTCAGAGCTTTTTATTCACTTACTTTTTTGGGTTTTTATGAACTAAAAAATGACAGTTTTCGTGAGAATGACCCATATATATAAATTTTTAAAAAATAAAGATAAAAGTCGCCAAAAAAATAGTTAGCGAGATTTTCGCCTAGCCAACCGAAAAGTACCTGAACATTATGATTAGGTGATCTTTTTTTTTTAGCAGTGTGCAATTTACAAAAATAAGCACTGGAGATGTTACTGTTACTTTTTTATAACCAGTTTTGATGAATAAAGTGATATAATAATGCATGCACCTTTTTTTGATTTTGTCTTGCTATAAATTTTCCCGTAAACTGGTACTTAGTACGTAACTTCATTTTTGCCCTTTCTGGTGACTTTACTTTATTAGATTTCTCAAAACACATTTTAGAAGGAGGATAAATATCATTTGAAAACACTTGATCATGAGTAGCTTCTTGAATATTAATGAGTAAGAAAAGATTTGTCACAATCATAATCACAATTCTTGAAGATTAATGGCACTGATGCTTTTAAAATCCTTCTTGGTTACCCAAGCATCACAATACTACAACTTTTCCCACTTTTATTTGACACTGAAATGAATATCATTGACGAAATAAACTTGTGATAATCTCATCCATGCGATTTTCGCAATGATTTGGCTCTAAGCACGAGCACAAGTATATTGTCAATTACTGCCCTCTTCAATCTCGGAAATAAAACTCACACTTCCGACTATTCACAAATTCATGAATTGTATTTCGTTTATTATGGAACCATTTATTAATTATAGAACCGTTAATTTTGGAA